TGAAGGGGACAGAAGAGCGGAATTCATACGTTTAGGTGTTTTTGCTGTGAATTCATACTTAAAAGATGTTCCCAGCTGCTGTTCCTGCTGTGTAGTCGGAAAGGGGTGTGTGCACCCCTCCTGCATCTGCTCCTGCTCAGGTCTATGGGGGAGAGGCAGTCTCTTAATTCCTCAGAGTGCCAGGTTTTATAGCATTATGGCAAGGTATTCGCCTTCACTCCTGTGCACTGCTAGGGAGACTTTTAAAGGCCAAAATTGGGAGCTAGATGCCCGACTCCCATTCAATAGATGTTGGATTCCTAACTTGTCCTTTGTGCCTTTGAAACATCTGTCATCTTAACCATGTGAAAAAATTCTGCTGACCACATCATTTGAGTTGTGATTTGTATTATCCCCACAGTATATTATACTAGCTATATCATCATGCAGCAAGGTCGCCTATTGTGCTACATGTGTACATGACTCTCCATTCCATGGTTTTCTTTGCTAATATAATAAAAATGAAACTTTTATGTGCTCAGTATCATGTTTCCGTTACAACTCTATAGGCATCTCCTGTAATTTCTTGGTCTATGTGTACATTGTTACATTTAAAAGCTTCACCAATGTCTCGTTAACTCAGTAGGACCTTCATTTTTCTTTTCAAACAGTATTCAGGGTATTTTCCATATTAACTACTGAGCTATAGAATAGTTCTTATTGGAGCTGGGCTGTGGTGTAGGCAAGAGTGAGAGACTTGGGGGACCAAAAGGAAAATGGTAAGAAGGAGCGGGTCTTTGTGGCTTGATGATGATGATGGCACTTCCCTGGCAGGGAGCAGTCTGGCTGCCAGAAGTTTTTAAACTAATGATGCTTCAGTGAAAAGTTTAAAAAAAAAAAAATTGGAATTAATTTTGGGACCAGGAAGTCATTTTGTAGACACTGCAAGGTCTGAAGAGAGACACCTACAAGTTTGGCCTGGATCTTGCCCTGTGTGAATGACAAGGTTAGTTGGGAATTTTTACTTGAAATAAGAAGTAACTGAAATTGCTGTGAAGAAGAACATGAAAAACTCTAGACATGTTGGTGCTTTAGAAAAATATTTTGCACTGGTGTGCAAGAGATCATCTGACAAGCATTGCTACACTGTGACCAAAGTATCTTGAAATAATGACACACTTTTTCAGAACCGTGATCAGAGAAATGCCACACGCTGTCGGGGTACCTTCTCTGAGTGCCGGAAAGACTGTGGTGCTGCTGCTGGCCCCAGCCTGCAGTGGCAACCTGCTGAAACCCTGCGCACTGATTGGGGGCCTGTGCCCCCTGGAAAGAGCTGGGGAAGTGATCAAAGGGCTGGGGAATGAAACCTCTTCCCCCTTCCACCTCTTCCCACTTCCTCTCCTTAGTTTCTGTTTAGCTACAAGCAGGTCTAGCTTTGAAACCTGTAACATTTCAAAGCTTTTGGAACATTTCGAGTGCCCTCATTTCATTTCAAAGCTGTTTCAAAGCCTTTTTGTTTCATTTCAATTTTGCTATTTTGAGCTTGAAATGTGTCAAAACAGCTTTGAAATGAAACACCCATTGAAAATTTGCACAGCTCAACTGTTTAGTCTATGGCCGAATCGCTGAATCAACAGAATCTTTTCTGAAGGTTTTACGAATCATTTCGGATGCTTCGGATCAATACAGAGCTTTTACTTGGTCTCCCGATTCAATTCAGATTCGGTCCCCGAATTGGGCCAAATCTCCTCTGAATCGAATCAGCTACCAAAGCTTCGCACAGCCCTATTTCGTACTGTGAACCTGTTAAGCAGACTCCTAAATGCTTTGCCTAAAGCTTGAAAGTAATATCTTTAAAGTCAAAGAGACTACACACAGAGTTAAGCTGAGCATGTTGTTGCTGAATTGGGTCCTTAGTGTCCATTACCTTGCAGTATCAAGCTTTCAACAGTGGATTTCTGTACCTTTCAGAGATTTTAAGTTTAGAGCCTGAATCTAATTCTCTTGTATTTGGGTTTGCAAAAGATGGAGGATGGCATAAGGCTGTTCTACTTATTCTTGTGCTAATGGGGTCTGCAGTATTCCTGCCAGCATAGGAATAGGACAGATCATCATGGGATAGGCCATGAGAACTGCCATTGTTGTTGTTCTGCATACCTGCTGAGTTGGTATATAGGAGCCACAGGGGACTGCAATTATGATAGCTTCTATGATCATGTAAAACAAAGTAATGTGGGCCAATCTAGTTTGACTCGTGGTGCATTCTTTTTGCTTCCTGTGTGGCGATTGTCACCTCTGTCTTGGAACACAGGTTAGGCTACAAACAGACGTTGCTTTTGTCCTGCAAAAAGTTTTTGATCTCATGCAGTCGTCAGGTGTCCATGTCTGCCATCCTGGGAAAAATCCTCAAAAGCTTCATGAGATAAGAAGTACTAATGGTCTGTTGTGTAACATAGCAACATGTGTCTGGATGGTTATCCCAGGCTGCATCGTTGATTCAATGGTAGAAAAGTGAAAGTGCATACAGCCTCCCCTGAACCCTGATTAGAAGGGTGATGTGTGTATGTGCCAAACTCCAGATATTTCGGTTCTGAGTCCGATACAGACACAATTTATCCAGGGACATGTGCAGCATCTGTTCCCAAGTCCCATTACCTGTTTCTGCAATATTTACAGTTGATTTAAATGGTAATATTTATTTAAGCAATACTAAAGAATGTGTTTGATATTATAAATATTTCTATTTTATAAATGTTCTATACATTCGGTCGCATGAGACTGTTTTTGTGAAAATCAGCAGAATTTTAATTGGCTTCATTTCTGCTAGTCAGCAGTGGATGTTCTGGTCACAATTTGAGTTTATTTTGCAAGTCACAGTTTTGTTTTCCTGATGTCAATCTTCAGTTGGCTTTGTTAGGGGGACTTTAAAATACATTAAAATAAATATGTTTATGACCATCGTCATATTTGATACAATTAAATTATTCTGTATTTAAAATCACTTTAAAATGTTTGCTGTCTTTACTCAGTCAGCATCTCAAAGTACAAAGCTTTGTGTCATCAGAATTTGTTTCATGAATATTTATGTCCCTTATATTTAAAAATTGGTTTCCATTTTGTTCTTTAGATCAAAATTTCATGTGGTTTCTGGTGGTGGTGGTGTTTATATAATAATCTAATTTGGGGTTCATTTATGTGAGGAAATGTACCAACCAGTACAAAGATGATATGCTTTCAGTCCATTTCCTGTGAACTCCTGTGCCTTCTGTCTACATGGAATCTGACCAGAATAGTTTTTATGGAATAAATTATTCTGAGCTGCTTCTCATGAGCACCTGTATTCCAGTGTAAAGGGTCCACATGGGGAACTAGTGTGAAATAAAGGATTGATCACCCCCTGTAGACAAGCCTGCACTTATTACCCTGCA